ATCACAGGTGACCCCAGAGGAGTCCAGGACCATCCTCACAGCACCGGTGACCCCAGAAGAGGCTGGGTCTGGCCCTATGGCACTGATGACCCCAAAGGAAGCCAGACCCAACCCCACAGCACCACTGACCCCAGAGGAAGCCGTGTCCAGCCCTACAGCGCCACTGACCCTGGAGGAGGTGCGGATGCTGGTGGAGCTTTTCTACCTGCCCTACCACCACGGGGCTCTGGCACAGCAGCTCCTGGAGCATTTTCGGTGGCTGCGGGCAAACAGCCTCAGCGTGGGGGTCCCACCCACGGCGCCTGATCCCTGCGGGGTAAGACCTGTCCTAGTGCTGCTGCAGGAAGGTGGCTCGCGTGTCCCCCAGGTGGCTGACACCAGGTGTGTCCCCAGGGCACGCGGTGGCGGGGCCGGGCTCAGTCCTTCCAGCTGCTGTGTGCGCGGACGTGCCGCCTGCACAGCCGCTTCGTCAGCACCGCCAGCCGGGCGCTGCTCTACGACCTGCACCCCTACCTGTGGGACATCCGCAACATGCTGCTGGCAGCCTGTGCCTTCGTCCTCTGGCTGGGTACGTGGCTGATGCCAGCCCTGGCAGCCCCTGGCAGCCCCCATCACACCTTTCCTTTCCCCGGGGCATGCTGGCTGCTAGGGGGGGTCCGTGGAAATCCGATGCTCCACACCTTGGAAGCCGCCAAACTTCCCAGAGAGTCTCGCAAGGGACTGCCTTCTAGGGGTCTTCTGGCAGGTCTCCTAGCCACCAGATAAGCCTCAGCAAGTGACGGCCTGTGGCCAAAAGTGATCAGCTCTGATCGGTGATTTCAGCTCAGTGATTTCAGCTCTGCTTGCGAGGCCATCCCGGGCAGACTCAGGGACAGAGAGACAGAAGTGTCCATATGGCAAATTCCACAGAGATTCCTTTATCATCCAGCAGCTCTGTGAAGGGAGCCAGGAACTCCAGCTCCCTAAGAGAACTGGGGGAAAACTGGGGTTTTTATGGGGGAAAGCAAGGGTGGTACCAAGGGGGAAAGAGCAATGGGTTGCAAAGGATTAACATGGGTACTAGGGCATGGTGGGATCACTGAAACCTTTGGGGGATAGCTCACCATGGTAAGAAAAGATGTGCCAACCTAAGGAGCATCCTTCCAGGAGGGTTTTGATAAGCTAATCACAGCCCATTCGAGGGACATTTCATTCAAGGGACATCACTCCAGAGCAGGGCTGCAGGCAGGGTCATGGCAGGCCCCTGGGTCTCCACAGGGGCACACCCGATGCTCGTTCTCTGGGGATCCACTGCTTCCCCAGCAAGGAGGTGAAGGTGGCTGGGACTCACCCAGATCTGGGGTTCCAGTGTCCTGCTGGTAGTGCCAGGATCCCTCCTGGGAGCTCACCTCTCCCTGACACTTTTTCTGCTGCTAACCCATGTCTTGTGCTCACCAACTCGCCTCCTTTGCAGATGGCCACCTCCTCTGCGACCCTGACCCCAAGGGCACCTGGGGGAACTGCTTTGGCTGTAAGTACAGGCACTGCCCTGGCTCACCCACCTGGGTGAGGGGGTCTGGCTGCTGCCCCCCATCACTTCCAGCCCCACAGCAGCAGCCAGCACACACCACCAGGCTGCCCTTCCCCACACTCTGCCTGCTGAGTGGAACAGGAATGGCACTGGGAATAACACACCAGGGCAGGATGAGGCACTGCTGCCAGGGAGGGAGCAGATCTGCACCATATCTCACAGCCTACAAGGAATGGCTGTTTCTAGGATATGGTTCCTCAGCCTTTTTATCCCAAAGACCTCTTAATCTGTGTGGAAAAAGGGTTCTGGAAGCAGTAATGCCTTGGGTGACAGGTGGGGCAGTTTTTTGAATGCCTGTACATCACTTTGCACAGTTTTCCTCTGGTTTAGGGCTCCTTGGTTTCTCTGTGAGCCTTGTAACTTCTTACAAACCAAGAACTGCTACCAGGTGATAACCTGAGCAGGTCTCCAAGTTCAATGTGAGAAGGATCCGTGTGCCTTGAGCCCCTTCCTTAAGGAAGCAGCCAGCAAGGCATATTCTCACCATCCTGGGCTGCACAGCTGGGCAGCAGGTCCTTGGAGCTGTGACAGCAGAGATCTGCATGGCAGAGGCTGAACTCCCCCTGCCCAGCAGGTTTTTATTCACCTCATGTGTGTCTGTGTCCTGCTGCTTCCAGGGTGCCAGAGCATCACTGCCCCAATCCTGCTGGGGAGGGACGCCGAGCCCTGGGCACGTCGTGGGGGCCTCTTTGGAGAACTCCAGGTGAGAGAGTGTCCCTCCACTGTGGGGGCTGAAGGAGCCATGGGGAAGCCAGTATCCCAATCCTGCAAACTTGGGAAGGCAGAGCTGCCCCGGGACTGTGGTTCCTAGGGTTTCAGGAGTCTCAGAGCCATTCACCTGCTGCCTCCAGGACAAGGTTTGGAACCAGGATGAACTGATGGACTGTATCTCTTCCAGGCACTGCTGCCCGTGGGGAACAGCTGTGACCTCTTCTACCATCCACCCCCACTCTTCCCGTCCAGCCAGCTGTACCTGCTGCGCCCACTGCTGCCCCTGGACAAGGTGGGAGCCGTGGCATGGAGGGATGTCCTGCCAGAGCCTTTGCATGGCTTGTGCTGCCCATAAAATGACGAGTTATGGGGTCATCTGCTGCTGAACCCAGGCTGAGCTCCCAAGTGTAGGGTGACACAGGTGGAGAGGGTCCTTGGGTCCAGCTCTGCTCAGAGCCAGCTGGCCTGGAGCAGCTCTGTCAGACTCTGGCCTGGAGAATGTGCTGTGGCCTCAGCAAACCCATCTCTCTCCAGCAGAGCAGGAGAGGGAGCCCCTTCAGCCACTGATAAACCAGCACCAGGGCAGAGTTGCCAGGTTGTGGATGATCTCCAGAGCAGCCCCAGTGCTGATCTCCAGCACTGGCTGTGAGCAGATGTCAGGAAAAATCCAGAACAGGACAAGTCTGGATGGCAACCTCCTGCAGCCTTCACCAGTCTGCAGCTCTGGGCACTGCCACAGCCTGTGGGGATCCATCTCCAAATCCCTTCTTCAAACACTCATCCAGTTTAAGGGGTGATTCCCTGGAGAGCTTCTGTCAGCTACTTCTGTTGGCAGCCCCCTGATATCCCAGCAGCTCGATGGGATGGGGAGGGAAAGGGAGAATCTGGATATGGAGGGACAAAATGTTAAAGTGCTGCCAAATCCAGGTTTCCCATGTACCTGTAGCGAGCACCCTTCTCCCTCGCCCTGCTCCTCTCCAGCTCGAGGAAAGGTTAACACCACAAATCCAGCCACCACAGAGTGCAGCTCATCTGCTCAGGCTGAACCTTGACAACAACAACGTCTGTGTCCAGTGAAACTCTGAGAGGAAAAGCCAGCTGAGCCCATCAGCCCGTTGCAGGAACAGGCACAGCAGGGCATGGTCCTGCCCCTGTTGTTGGGTGATCAGGAGCAAGGCTTTTATCAGAATGTTTGCAGCAGCAAACTCAACTGTGACCAAGACAGGACATTTAGGGATGTCCTGCTGTGCTCAGGCTCTCTGGAGACCTGAGTTTCGGGGTTGTTTTTGGTGCCGTTCTGGCTGCTCTGAGCACGCTCCAGCCTGGGGCTGTCTCTGCAGTGGCTGCTCTCAGGATGCCTGACCGGAATGGCAATTTCTGGTTTGAAGGCTGGCTGTGCTGTGGCGATGAGCCCGAGGCCAGCAGAAGGTGGTGGCTGGCATTGTGGCACAGCAGGCACAGCCAGGGCTGACATGGATCCGGGTCTTCCAGGGAGAGCTTTACCGCATGTGCCGGGAGAGTTTGGACTGTGATCCCAAAGTGGCAGAGATCCTCGTGGCCCACCCAGATCTCCTCGGTGACAGGTGAGATGTGGCCCCTCTGAGGCTCCCACTGGCCAGGCTATGTCGAGTCTGGACATGTGGTGCAGGGCTGGGGAGTGAGACATTGGCCTCTCTTGGCATCCCTGTGGGGACCAGCGCTGCCCCATCTCACTGGGAGGGACAGAGAGAGACATCCCCATGCTGATGTCCAGCAGGGTCATGGCAGCCAGCGTTGTGGATGTCCAGCCTGGATGCTGGAGGCTGCAATGGCTCCCCTTGGCTGAGGGTCTCAAAGGGGTGGTCAGTGGGTGCTGGGTGCATGAAGGAGGAGGCTGCTCTGAGGTTTCCCAGGGGCTCCAGGCTCAGCTCGGCCATGTTCCTGCTCTGCCTGGCAGGCTCCTGGGCAGCTTCCTCAGCCTGAGCCCTGAGTACACCTTTGTGCTGGAGGATGAGGGTGGCCCGTGTGGCTACGCAGCCGGAGCGCTCCACGCCGAAGGCTTCCTGCAGAAGCGAGACAGCAGCTGGCTGCCAGCCATAAGACACAAATACCCCCCAGACCTGGGCACGGGGGGCTCAGCTCTGGGACAGGTGAGAGGACACCTGGAGCAGAGGCGAGCTAGGATGGGAGAGGTGGAGGGGGTTCCCTCACTTGTGCTTGTCTTCTGCAGGATGCCCTGGAGGAAGCAGTGCTCTTCTTCCACACAGAGCCACTGGCAGTGCCCCAGCCTGTGCTGAGGCGCTTCCCCTCCCTGGTACAGCTGGGCACAGCCCCTCGTGTGCTGGACGTGGGGGCCAGCCGCAGCCTGGCCCTCTGCCTGCTGAGTGCACTCAGGGCCAACGGTGAGCATGACCTCCGAGTGCTGGCCCTTCATCCAGCACAACCCCATCCCAACACTCCCTCACCCGGCAGAGCTGGGAGCTGTCCCCTCTCTGGTGCAGTCTGACAGTGCTGCTAGGCACTGTCCCCTCCCCTTGCACTGGGGGACATGTGGATCTGTGTCTCAGGACATCACAGGGGCACTCTGTGACAAAGGGGCAAGGGATAGACCGATCCCCTTATGGAGGGGGTCCCTATCACTGTGCCCCCAGTCCCAGCACTGGGGTCCCAGTGCCCTGACCTCTCCCCTCCCTTCCAGGCTCACGGGGAGTGTTCTGCCAGGTCAGTGATGCCGACCGGCAGCAGCTGAGCTTCTACAGCAAGCTGGGCTTTGTCGCCCTGCCGGTGGCCTGGGGCAGCTCTCCTGGCTCTCAGCTCCTGGGACGTCTCCTCTGATGGGCACAGGGAGGCAGTGCCCCAGGCCAGGCTGAACTCCCCATCCCACGCAGCATCGGCCTGAGGCAGCAGGAGCAGAGGGGCACCTCGGGCAGGCCAGGTACACATGAGAAGGGACATGGGGGTGAGCAGGATGTCACTGGGATGTGTGCAGGGTTGTGAGGTACCTGGGCAGCAGAGAGCTATTTCTGCTACTCACTGGATTTGGCCACCTCTGTGCCACCCCGACTGTTCCTGTTTGCTGGGTACCCTCCACCTTTGCTGGGGAGCCAGGCTGTCTGCAGACCCTCAGGCCTGCAGGAGCCATGGGCAGCGTTGGGGTTTGTGGTCCTGGAGCACAGCACGGTGCCTTAGTGCTACGGGAGTGTCCCTATCAGGCAAGCTGGGCTGTCCAGCTCTCTCCATCCCCTGTTGTAGCCCGAGACAGCCAGTGCTGGGGCTGGCTCTCAGCACTAAGGACCTGCTTGTCTGTATGGATTGATCCGGTATGGGATGCAGTGAGGCAGCCTCTATTTCTGTGCCTGGGGCCTGAGGGAAGCGCTGTCCTTGGCAATAAAGCGTTTGCTGGGCTCTCACCATGCCTCGTTTCTTGGGGGAAAGTGTTGGGGTGCCAGCAGATCCCTCTCACACCCTCATGCACTCTCACACATCTCACACTGGCTGTCGCTACAGTCGCTCTTGTGTCCCCTCAAACAAAGCAGCTCTCCTCACATCCCAGCTGCTCCAGCCACTGACAATGTGAGTTCACGGCCCCAGCCCTGTAGGGCTTTCCTGCGGGATGGGACCTTCAGGATCAGGGGGTTTGGGGACCGCAGCCTGCCCAGGACAGGCAGGATGACTAAGGTGGGGGAGATCTGTCCAGCCACCCCTCTGCAGCCACTGGAAAAGGGCAGCCAGGGGCAAACCATTCCTGGCTGTTTCCCTCTCTTGCCCTTCGGAGGTGAGGAGAAGGGTGAGGAGAGGGCTGGGTGGTGTCGGGATGGCCAAAACCCCCGGAGCGAGAGCTCGGCTGGGTGGGGTCGTGATGGCCAAAACTCCCGGAGCGAGGGCTCGGCTGGGTGGGGTCGGGATCGCCAAAACCCCGGGAGGGAGAGCTGGGCTGGCAGCTCCCGCGGCTCGGTCCCTGGAGCCGAGCCCGGGCGGGGCGGGGGCTGGAGCCGGCCCCATGGCGGGGCGGCGGGCCGGGGGCTCGGGCCCGTTCGGACCGTGCCGGTGGCGGGGCCGGGACCGCTGGGAGCGAGCCGGGGCTGCGGGGCGGCCCCGGACACGGACACGGCGCGGGGCGGGCCGGGGCGGAGCGCGGCGGCACCGACCGAAATTGCTCGGCTCGGCACGGCAGGATTCGATAGGGCACTGCACGGCTCGGCACGGCACAGCTTGGTTCGGCACGGTACGGCTCGGTTCGGCACGGCACTGCGGAGCTTGGTACGGCTCGGTTCGGCTGGGTTGTGTTCGGTTCGGCACAGCTCGGCACGGCGCATTACGGCTCGGTTCGGTTCGGTTCGGCACGGCTCCCGGAGGCAGCGTGACCGGGGCGAGCAGCGCGGGTGTCCCACGGGAAGCGGACCCGGCGGGGCTGTGGTGCCGGTTCGGGGCTGTGGTGCCGGTTCGGGGCTGTGGTGCCCGTTCGGGGCTGTACCGCACCCCAAAGCGTGTGGGCTGCGGACAGAGCTGCACCTGGGGACTCAGGATTTCCATGAAGACCGGACTTGCCGTAGCTCATGGAAGAGAGAGGATGGATGGATGGAGGGATGTGGGGCGGGAGGGCTGGCGGCGCTGGAAGGGAAGGGGTGATTGTTCGCGGCTGGCTTTTCGCCTTCCCAGCTGCTCTCCGAGGAGCCCGCAGCTGAGCCGATCCCGTCTCCAGCAGGTCCAGGACGGCTGGCTCCCTGCTCCAGGGTGCCTAGGACCCCAGCCCCACCAGCAGCCCCACCAGCAGCCCCCCAGCCCCGCTGCCCGCCCCTCAGCCCGTGGGGATGGCTGATGTTTGCGCATTCCTCCGAGGTCTTTCCCTCCTGCCGGCATCTGGCTCCCCCAGGGCTGCCTCTCCCGAGCCCGGGACAGCTCAGAGCAGAGCTGAGAGCCCTGCTGTGTCCTGGGGAGGCTGGGTGGGGGTAGGAGCTGCACGGAGCTGTGCTGTGACCTGCTCTGCCTTAGGGGGTGGCAGCAGGACATGGGGACATCACATAGCCCAAAGGGGCTGGACCCTGGAGTTGTAAGGGGAAGGGAAGTGCAGCCCCAGCCCCAGACAATGTTTTGTCCCTGCTGACACCCCGAGGTCCGTTCTGCAGCAGGGTCCCTGTCCCTGCCTGGGATGGGGACACACAGTGGGTGGCAGGGGGACACACCCTCCCTTCGGACAGCGAGGGGCAGTGAGCTCCCAGTCACAGGAGGTTGTAGTTTTGGGAGCGACATCAATCCTGCCAGGGAATTCCTATGGTGACCCTGGGCTGCTTCCTGGTGCTTCTGGGACTCGTTTGTGGAACTTCCAGACCCTGGTGGTGCTTACCCCGGAGCTCTGACCCAGTCTGAGCAGGGTGGGGGTGTCAGGGCTCCCCTGCTTTGTGAGATCCCAGCACTCCAGGGCTGCCGGGAAGCTGGAAAAGCAGAGCAGCCCATGCAGGCGGCCGGATTGCGAAAGGGGCCAGCGCTGGGCCATGTGCGAGGGGGCCCTGGGGAGAAGGGGAGGGATGGAGCCCTGAAGCCATGGGATTCACCAGACCTTCTCCTGCCCCGACTGCTGTGGACGTGACCCCGTGCTCTCAGGGATATCCTGGCATGGGACATCAACAGAGAGTGACTGTGTCACCCCTTAACCTTCTCAAGGAAGGATAAACAGAGCGAGCTTCCTCTCCCTTGTGCTGGCGGGTTTCCCAGGTCCTCGGTCTCTTGTGCTGCTCTTCTCTGAGTCCTCCCAGTTGTCAGTGCCTGGGATGCTCCATGTGGGTTTGTCCAAGGCTGCTGCTGTACGAGCATGTCCCTGAGGGGCCTCTGTGGCCTGGCTCTTCCCTGCTGCTGTGGCTTGGGATGTCATCCCTGTGCTGCAGGGATGCCCCGTGCTGATCAAATACACGGAGTTACCCGAGGATCTGCCTCACCAGGAGCTGCCCCTTCCCGAGCTCTGTTGGCTGTTCCCTGGGGTTTTGGTGGGGCACACTGATGTGCTGCTGTATGCCCAGTGAGTGCTGAAGTGATTTGAACAGTCCTGGGCTCGGGGCACCCCCCCACCAGCACAGCTGACCCTTCTGGAAGGGGCAGCCCCTGTGCAGGATGCAGAGCAATGATGGGGACAGTGCCTGGCCATAAGGGCTGTAGGCCCTGTCAGGGTGACTCTGTCACCCACTGAGACAAGCAGAGCCAGTGGGCTGGCATGGGAGCAGTTTGAGCAGTGCCATGTGGGGCTGTCCCTTGCCCTGAAGGATCCTCTCACCCATGCCAACCTCAGCAGCACAGAGCTGAGGCTGAGGACTGGAGGGAGCCCCAGGATTTTGACTGTGCACTACTCTCAGACACCCCACCACCAGTGCCAGCTGAGCTGCAGGCTGGGATGTGGCTCAGGCCTCGTGCACACCCGGCTGGGACATTCCTGAGGTTTCCCAGGCAGTGGCAAGAACCTGGGCTGCTTCCCGGCTCCCACGCCCAGCATTTGCTCCAGCCAGCCCGTCCTCCAGAGCCCTTTAGCCTTGCAGTGGAGTTCTGCTGAGCATCTGTGCCCGGGGCAGCACATCCAGAGTGCCACAAGCACATCCAGAATGCCACAAGAGGTCCGAGAGGAGACTGTCCCTGGCTGGAGCTGACAGCAGGATGGTTGGGATGCTGGGGTGGGCTCCTCATCCAGAGCAGCAGGCAGGGCTGGAGCAAAGCCTGCGAGCAGAACGAGCAGCCGGGCAGCAGGAGAGGAGCAAACGCACGGCTTGTGCCTCAGAGAACGGAAAAAGTGATGTGGACAATGAGAGCCCTGTTAGCCTGACTGCCTGGGACACGGACACGGAGCGTGTTCGGAGAGGGAGGTGGTACAGGAATGGGGAAGGAGCCGTGCTGTGCTGCAGGGAGCTCACATGGCAGCTCTCCTGGGCTGGGCATGGAAAAAAGCTTTGGCCGCACAGAACTCAGCTGGGAATGTCACTGGGAAACTGTGAGGTGAGTGGCAGAGCAGAGGTGCCAGGGCAGAGGAAGCACGGTGGGGATGAGAGATGCTGGAGCAGAGCTGAAGCAGGACCCGGGAGCAGGGATTACAGACCCTGGAGGTCACACTGATGAAGCTCAGAGGGGAATCAATGATTTTCTGCACAAAGCCCAAGCACTTTTCAGGTGCCGTGCTCTTGTCTCTGGTCCTCTGTGGTTTTTTTCTCAATGCACAGATTTAAATTTTCCTTGTAACCAAGGATGTAGGCTGCACAATGCTGATTTACCAGGCTATCCCTATTCCCATCTCTGTTTCCCCTCATTTCTGTCTCTGCAGTCTGTACCAGGAAGGTACTTTTTCCTCCTCCTGGCAGAGTTTTGCTTTGAAAAGCATGTGATCCTCACCAAAAAGCCCACAGAGTGGTGACTTCCCCATGTAACCACATTTTAGTTCCAGCAGGTGACCAGTTTTAATCCACTTAGGAGAAGGTGCACTGATTTTGTTGAGTGCTAATTATTCATTAAAAGGTGGTGCAAGATGAATTGAATGCCTTCCAGTCTCAGCCTGTTAGATCAACACAGTTACTCCAATTAACAGAACCTGTGATCTCATAAAAGGCCATTCCTGCTTCCTGACACGGGCTATTTCTGCTGGACCATGGAGATTGGCATTAATTGTGCTGCTGTCCTTTAGGGTTGTACTGACCCCGTTGTGAAACTGCCCAGTTCCACAGCAGAGCATCCTGCTCGCTCAGGAGTGCTGGGGAAGCTCCAATCCTTGTGCACTCCACCTTTCCCTGAGGAAACATACCCCAAGGTGTGTTACAGGTAGCACTGAGGGGACTCACATTTGGGTGTCAGGACAGCTCTGAGGGTTTACAGCCTTTCCTCGGGGCAGGGCAATGTCTCTTCAGTGATGCAGGGGTGGAATAAGAAGTTTTGTTACTGCTGTGAGATGGCAAACTCATCCCTTCGCTGCTTGGTGGAGATGAGGATGGAGAATTCCCATTCCAAGCCCACAGATTCCCTTTCCTAAGCCACTGGCAGGGCTGGGGTGACCCTTTGCACTCACCCTCCCTTCCTGCTGGCTGGGTAAAAGGTTCAGCAGAGCATTTCCCTGCTGTCTGCCCACAAACACACGTCCTGCTGAGCTCTGCTGTTCTCACAGAGCAGGCAGCTGAGGCACCAGGAGCCCAGAGCTGGCTCCCACCAACCCCAGGGCTCCCAGCTGCCTGGACCATGTCCCCACCAGCTCTGTGGTGTCCCCTGTGCCTCAGTTGTGATAGAGGAGAGAGCCAGACCCACACTGATGTGGTTGCTCCAAAGGGAAGTGATGTGCTTCATAGAATTATAGGGTTGGAAAACACCTCCAGGGTCATTGAGTCCAACCTGTGACCAATCCACACTTTTCAGCCAGACCAGAATACTGAGTGCCATGCCCAGTCATTCCCACCACTGTGTCTGGTGTAGAACTGGACCAGCAGTGCTGCTGCTTGTTACTCCTCACTCTCTTCCTGAGCATCTCTGCAGGCACCAGGTTCATCCCGAGGCTCTCACTGCTCCTGGTGGCACCTCCAATGTGGTGTGTGCCCAAAGGGGCGGGCAGGCAGCAGGGCTGGACCCTATGGAGGCTTCTGTTGGTGTTATGGGTGTGGAAAAGGGGCTGGCACCGGGTACTATCCTGGTTCTTCCTTGCCTTGGCCCAGGAGGCATTCTCAAGAGGCTGGAGTGTGGGCCAGGTCCTCATCATCTGGAAAAGTGACCCAAGCAGGAATGGGGCTGATTCCTCTCTGAAAATCCTGTCCTGGAGGCTGATGGGGATGTGGAGCAGCCGTGCCAGCCCCCAGCTCTGCATGGGGTTTGAGTTTGTTTCCCTTTCTCTGTAACACTGCAGCTAAATATGGTGATTTTTAAATCACCCCAGGAAAGCCAAAATTTGTTCTTTTTAATGTTTTTCTAATGGCAAGTATGGTCTGTGTGAGTGCAGCGGGCAGGATCTATGCTCAGGGGAAACTTGGAGACAGAGACATGCTGCTGGGCATCCCTGGGGGTGTTTTGGGGGAATGCTTTCCCACCGTGGAAGGGACTGGCAGGGATGGTGGCACCAGGCTGCAGTGGACGGGGAGGTGGGCAAGTGGCCATGCTGGTGGTCGTGGGCCAGCATCAGTCAGAGCTTGGCAACACCACCCGTGCAGAAATGCAGCTCCTGAGCTACATGATACATGGGAATTGCAAACTGGGAGGGGAGGGAGGCTCACAGAGAAGGGTTTTCACTATTGTTTGCCGTGGGACTGGCGCAGGAATACCACATCTCCCTCAGGTATTCAGGGAGCCACAAATATTGTCGGAGGAATGGAGGAACGCGGCACAGAGGAATGTGAATGCTCCGCCTGCCTCGCTTGTCACAGAGGGCAGAGCGTGGGCTGGAATCCCCTCAGCCAGCAGCCGTTCCCTGCTCCTGCTGGATCGAGCTCCTGGCTGGTCCAGATGGGCTTTCCCTGTGCCCTGAGCCTGTTCCAGCTCCCTCAGCTCTGGCAGCTCATCCCCTTCTTTCCATTCACCTCTCTGGGGGCGTGCACACCCCTGTGCCCATCTGCCCTCACTGGCCTTTGGACAGCACAGTGGGAGCTCAGCAGGGACTGCTGGCAGAGGGGGACAGGGGAAAGGGACATTGGGCAGGTCCCTGACAGCCCCAGGGGTGCAGTGCCAGTGCAGAGACACTCTGGTCAGGACAAGGCACATGGCTGTGCTGGCACTGGGCAGGGGATTTAGCCAGCACAGGGCTGGGCAGGGCGGCTGGAGGGGGATACTGGATGGATGTACTGGATAGGGGTGCTGGATAGGGGTGCTGGATGGAGATGCTGGATGGAGATGCTGGATGGGGATAATGGATGGGGATAATGGATGGGGATGCTGGTGTTCCACCTCAACTCCAGCATGCCCTTGTAAGAGCCTGATGGAGAGACAGAGGCTTTCAGCCATCTCTTAAAATTCTGTTTATTGCACAGACAAGGTTACAGCAGTTGAGGGTCGTGGGTGAGCCCAGAGCTGCTGGCTGTAGGCAAGCCATGTGTCCTGAAGCTCCTCTAGTTCTGGATACAATGCATTATATACCTTTTATTACAGAGCATCTTAGTACATGACTAACATCATACATCATACACAATACCTTTTACATTAACATATAACCTATAAAAACTGCTAAAATTACCATATTATGTTAGTGACTAGCTAATTATCGGAGTTAGTAGTCATATGTTAAACTTTGGGACTTGTTCTGCAGTGGAAATTTCTGAGATCTTTTCTCTACTTGCAACATTGGCTTTCTTGTTTGCCTGTGAAAATCCTTTTGTTTAGTAGAAACATCTTTTGTTTGAGGTGGGTTTATCCTTTGCTTTAAGCCGTAAAAGCCTCTTCCAGCTCACTTGCTCTTTGCCTTCTAGTTACCTAGTAAGACTGGCTCAGCAATTCTTTTTTTCTCTATCAAAACTTGCTTTCATTCCTATAGAACCTTTTGTATATCTGCAAAACTCCTCTGCTAAATTCTCGTCCTTCCCAACAACCCTGACCCTGTCTGTCCCTACAGGGCCCCAACTGCCATGGGAGGCTGTGGCTCATGGGCATGGCCAGAGCTGCTGGTTCTGCTGGGCAGCTCCTGGCTGTGGGTGGGCAGTGCCCAGCCCACCCCCCCGAGCCCCACACCCCCCCCCGGGCCCCAGCTGAGGTTCCGCCTGGCCGGGTACCCCCGAAAGCACAACGAGGGCCGAGTCGAGGTCTTCTACAACGACGAGTGGGGCACCATCTGCGACGACGACTTCACGCTGGGCAACGCTCACGTGCTGTGCCGGCACCTCGGCTTCGTGGCTGCCACCGGCTGGGCTCACAGCGCCAAGTACGGCAAAGGAGTCGGTAAGAGAGGGGTGGTGGGTACAGCATGTCCCTGGCACACTGCCTGGGGCGGGGTGGGTGCCCTGACAGGTCAGCAAGGAGTGTCCTGCAGTGATTGTGTGCTCGTCTCTGCTCATGTGGGAGCTCTCTGTCTGTCAGAGCAGCCCCTTGGGGAGGTGGAGATCCCCATCTGCAGATCTCCCACCCAGAACTTTACTCTTGGCATTTCACTGGCCTCAGCTTTGTGGTCCCTGTGATGCCTTAAGTTTTAAGTTTTTCTATTCTGCTCAAGTGTGCTTTTCTGTTGTGCTTGGGCAGTGAAGACAAAACAGTCCTAGTCCAGCTAAGGACTCAAGTACAATTTCTTCAAACTTCAGGCCCTAAGCATAAGCAATGTGAAAAGAGGAGGGCGGGCAAGCAGGCAAGCAAAAAGGATGAAACTTCACGATTTGTGACTATTAATTGGACAATTGACTCCTGCATGCAAATGGACTAAAACCTATAAAGGTGTGAGATCTCATGACCAAACCTTCTTTTGCTTCCATCTTAAAACCATGCAGGCAAGGGCCACGACTGTGGTGCTGGCACTGCCAGGGTGTGGCCTTTGAAGGCCTCTCAATAAATATCCATTTTATTCCCCTTAACTCTGTGTAGCCTCTGTTCCAGCCCCTCTAGGCATCACCTGGCCATGCTCTGTGGGCACCTTCCCTGTCCCCAGGGCATCCTTGGCTCCCCCTCACCCCTAGGCTGTGTCTGGCAGGGCGGATCTGGCTGGACAATGTGAACTGTGCTGGAAGTGAGAAGAGCATCGGGGACTGCAAACACCGGGGCTGGGGGAACAGTGACTGCAGCCACGAGGAAGATGCAGGTGTTGTCTGCAAGGATGAACGCATTCCAGGCTTCAAGGACTCCAATGTCATCGAGGTGAGGAAGCTGCTGGCCAGAATGTGCAGCTGGTGATGTCCAGAATGCCACAGGGTGTGGGGCAATCTGGGAACTCTCCCTGGGGGTGCAGGAGAGCAGCACTGGCTTTCCTGGTTGTGCTCCCCAGAGATGCACCTGGGGACCCAAGGGGACAAGAGGCACTGAGTTCTCTGGATGAGGTTCAATCCTTGGCTGCCCAGGGCCATCAGATGTGGCCAGCAGGAATGCAGGACTGGCTGTTCCTGTGCCCCACCTGTGACTGGGTACCCCTCACCTGCATCCTTGGAGATTCCCTGGGAGTGGGCTGGCAGCAGGAGGGGTGATGGGTTGTAATTTGAGCTGGGGCTGACCTGATCCCTGCAGACGGAGCAGAGCCACGTGGAGGAGGTGCGGCTGCGGCCGGTGGTGTCCGGGGGGCGGCGGCAGCTGCCGGTGACAGAGGGCATCGTGGAGGTGCGCTACAAGGACAGCTGGGCACAGATCTGCGACCAGGGCTGGAACAGCCACAACAGCCGCGTCATCTGTGGCATGATGGGCTTCCCGGCAGAGAAGAAAGTCAACAGGAACTTCTACAAGTGAGTGAGGCCGTCAGGGAGCCCACAGGGATGGGGTGTCCAAGCAGAGACAGGGGCACTGGGCTGGGGATGGTGCCAGGGGTGTGGAGTAGTGCTGGGGGGCAGTAGAGGTTGTGCTGTTGGGTGTTGTGGCTCCTAAAATCCCTCCCACCCTGCTGCTCGCCAGTCCAAGCCCCAGCTGGCCATCTGGACTCTTGCTAAGCAGGCTGGGGGCCGTGGGCTGGTTGGGGGGCCATGGCTATCCCCCTACCACACACACTACAGCAGAGGCCACTCCAAGGGGAGCGCTTTTGCTGCCTGGCAGTGGTGTCCCCATCCCAAGGGGAGGTTTGCAGCCATCAGGGGATGCTCCAGCCACACCATTGCTTGAGTGAGGAGCATGGACAGGCCGTGCCTGGCACTGTGTGTGCCCTGAGCAGGCAGCTCTGGTGTTGCTCCACAGGAGGCTGAAGCGAGCAGCCAGGATGAAGGGCCCCAGCCCGAGGCTGGGCAGCAGGTAAGGGGCCAGGGTGCCCCATCTGCTGAGCCGTGGCAGAGCTGGGCTGTCCTGCCCCACCAGTCTCTGCTGTCAGGATGGATCTGGGCACAAACAGATCCGGACGGAGCAGACTGAAGGCTTGGGCTGTGCTGGCCCAGTAGGACAAACCTCACCCCAGGGAACCTGCCTGTGCATGCTGGGGTCCCCCATTCCCTACGAGAGACGATCTCCCTCCCAAGCTGGTCATGCTCCAAGCAGAGCAGCCCTGTCCTGCACACCAGGCAGGAGTACTGGCACCCTGGGAGGGGAGCAGGAGGCCTCGGAGCAGAGCTGTCTCTCCTGGCAGATGGGGAGGAAGGGCTGTGGAAATGGACTGCTTTCTGCAGAAAGCAGCAGTGGGGACACTGGAAAGGCTGTGCACCCCTCCATTCCCTGCAGGATGGGCTCGTGTGGACACCAGAGCCCGTGCTCAGCAGTGCTGATGGGCACAGTGTGGCAGGTCCTGCCCCGAGTGCCATCTCTGCCTGGGATCTCTTGCATCCTCTGCCCACCCACTCTTGCTGCCTTTCTGCCAAGGCCAGGGGATGGTCTGGCTGCCTTTTCCCTCCATCCCTGAATCCTGCTGCTGGATTTGTTGGTGGGTACAATGAGCAGAGCCCATCTTCTCTGAGCTCTTTCCTGAGCCCCCTGCCACGATGCTCTGCCCCAGTCCTACCACCTTGCCTCGTGTTGAATATGCCCTATACCCACTGTGAGCTCTTCATTGTCACACTCCCAGGACTGTGTCCCCAGCAGTCATCCTTGCCAGCTCCTGCAGCTGGTGATGGGAATTCAGGCAGGCTCATCCCATGGGTTTCCTCAACCCCCACCTGAAGATCCTGTTTGCTCCAATGTGCTGTTTCCTCGCTGGTTTGGTGCTGACTGCCCCTTTCCCAGCGAGCAGGTCCTTCCCCTGCAGCACTGGGGGAGATGTTTTGTGTCTCCATGAGGCTGCAGTCCTGTCCCTCTACACTGAGCAGGAACTGGCTCCAGAGAGCCACGCTGTTTTGTGGGGGCTGATAAATCTGGGGCTGCACAGCCACGGTCGTATGAAGGCACAGGCTAATCCAGGCTGGAAGGGACCTCTGGGAGTCCTGGTCTAGCTCCCTGTGTGGAGCAGAGCCAGCTGTGGGTTAAACCCAGGACTTCATCCAGCTGGCTTCTGAAACCTTCCAAGGATGGAAATTCTGCAGCCCTGTGGTTTCTGCTCCATGGAACAGCCCTCATGGGCAAAAGGTTTCCTTTACCGTGAGTCTGATCCTCTTGTTGTCAGTCATGCCTCCTCTTTTCTCTTGTGCTCTTCCCTCCCTGCTGGAAGAGCCAGGATCCTCACAGCTCCCACCCCAGCCCTGGCTGGAACAGTCCCACCTCCCCATCTCCTCCCACACCTCTGTCTTGCTGCTCTCCCTGGGACTCACACCACATACATGACGTCTTCTTATCCTGGGGACCCAGATCCAGGTGCAGGATCCAGATGTGGTTTCCTGAGTGGGAATGGGCACTGATGCCCTCTGGCTGTCTCACTCCCAGCCCTGTGCTGTGTCCTGGGGCTCGCTGGGCTGTGCAGACTGACACCAACCTGTGCTGGCCTTTGGGGACAGTGGCCAGGCTTGGTTCTGTCTGGTGCCTGGGGCTGTCAGTCCCCTGCCCTCCTTTGGGGCACTCAGGTCTTCAGTCCTTGTAGGCTCTGAGGTTTTGGCTCTGCTCAACATCTTCCTTCCTGAGCGAAGCAAGCATTTGAGGATGTTGGGATTGCACCTTGTGTGTGCTGAGCCCCAGGCAGCTTCCCCTCAAGGCTCAGCCTGTGCCAGGGCTGCTTCCCTCGCTGGCAGCAGGTCTTTGCCAGCCTGCAGCAAGTCCCACCGTGCCCCATGGCCCGAGGGCAAGCACTCTGGGGCTTCCTGTGCTGCTTGCTTGATACTGCTTGCCAGGTGTCCTGCACCTTGAGGACACAGTGGTGGCATGGTATCTGGATGAGGGCACAGACACACCTCACCCACACCTGACCGATCAAATGGTGGCTGCTGGTGTTTGATCTTTTGCCGTGTGACAAGGCAGAGCAGGGTGTGGCTGCATCCAGCAGTTTCCTGGTGGGATGCATGCAGGAAACTTCATCATTGCTGCGGAGTGTGGCTGTGTCACACTGCTGGCTGCACATGATGCTGTTGCACCCCGGTGTGCAAAGGGGATGCACATGAGTCTTCCTGGGGGCCAAGGTGCCCAGTTCAGCCTCTAGTGAAGCCAAGCTGTGCTTCCTGTGTCACTGCTGCGGGCAGAGGTGACAGCCTGAGGCACTGGGCTTCGTGATGGTTGTTTTCTATTTTCCAGGCTGGCCTCCAAATCTCAGCCTAAACAAAAGCGCAGGGAGGACGTAGGGCTCAAGAAGAGGTAAATGGCTCCAGTGGAGAGCCAGAGACAGGAGCCTCGTGCAGTCCCACCAGATCTGTGCGTGTCCCCACGTGTGTCCCTGTGCTGCTGGGGGTGTGGGACAAGCAGTTGGCAAGGGGTGGGTGCCTGGAGGCACTGTGTGTCACCCTGGGGACAGGGCAAGGCACAGCCAGCGCACGCAGCTGCAGGCAGAGTGGCTGGTGACACCTCCACTGCCACTGGCCACGCTGGCCGTGGCTCAGGGCTCCTCTCCCCTCCCAGGCTCTTCACGGAGCGGCAGCAGCTCAACTACCGCCTGCACTCGGTGTCCTGCACGGGGACAGAGGTGCACCTGTCCATGTGCTCCTTCGAGTTCTACCGGGGCAACTCCTCAGCAGCCTGCGGGGCCGGCATGCCTGCTGTGGTCAGCTGTGTGCCCGGGCCCCTCTTCGCCACTGGCAACGCCCACAAGAAGAAACAGCGCCAGCAGCAGCAGGGCCAGGTGAGCCCTGCAGGGAAGGGGACAAGTCCTGTGGTGGCCCACAGCCAGTCTCTGTCCCCTGGGCTGTGCCGGGTTGCTGGGTGACCCGCTCCGGAGCAGGAGCTGGGAGCGGTGTCCCGTCCCTGAACATCCCAGGAGTTGTGGCCAGCACTGTGTCGTGCCATTCCACACTGTCCCACACCTGTCCCTGCTCCCACAGCCCCGGATCCGGCTGAAGGGCGGTGCCAGGGTCGGCGAGGGCCGTGTTGAGGTGCTCAGGAGCAGCGAGTGGGGCACGATCTGTGACGACCGCTGGAACCTGCAGTCGGCCAGCGTCGTGTGCCGCGAGCTGGGCTTTGGCAGCGCCAAGGAGGCTCTCACCGGGGCACGCATGGGGCAAGGTGAGGCTGCCGGAGCAGAGGGGCCAGGCATCCCCTCCTGGAGCTGTGGGTCAGGCATTTATCCAGGCTTTGTTTGGCTAGGGTGTCCTGTGAACATGAGCCAGCAGTGTGCATTAGTGGCCAAGCCATTGGCTTATGGCATCCTGGCCTATATGAGGAACAGTGTGGCCAGCAGGAGCAGGGAGGTCATTCTTCCCTTGTACTCAGCACTGGTGAGGCCACACCTTGAGTGCTGTGTCCAGTTCTGGGCCCCTCAGTTTAGGAAGGACCTTGAGACACTTGAGCACATCCAGAGGAGGCAACGAGGCTGGTGAGGGGCTTGGAACACAAACCCTGTCAGGAACGGCTGAGGGAGCTGGGGGTGTTCAGCCTAGAGAAAAGGAGACTCGGGTGACCTTATCACTCTCTACAGCTCCCTGAAAGGTGGTTGTGGTCAGGTGGGTTTGGTCTCTTTCACCAGGCAGCAACTGTCAGAATGAAAGGACACAGTCTCAAGCTGTGCCAAGGGAAATATAGGTTAGATACTAGGAAAAGGTTTTTCACGGAAAGAGTGATGAAGTACTGGAATGGTCTGCCCAGGGAGGTGGTGGAGTCACCATCCCTGGATGTGTTTAAAAAAAGACTGGATGTGGCACTCGGTGCCATGGTCTAGTTGAGGTGTTTGGGCATGGGTTGGACTCGATGATCTTGAAGGTCTCTTCCAACCCAGTCATTCTGTGAATTCTGTGTGCACTGGGCTGCTGGATGCACATGGAGCATCCCAATGGGATCACAGCCACTCAACCACACTGCCCCAGGCAGCAGCTCTCGAGGCTGAAGTGTCCAACTCCCTCAGACCTGCCAAAAAGAGAGGGCAGCCTTGGGGACCCTGGGCATCCCTGTGTCACAGGGCCCTGATTTCTGCTGTCATCCGGCAGGGACGGGCCCCATCCACCTGAACGAGGTGCAGTGCCGGGGCACCGAGAAGTCCCTGTGGAACTGCCCCTTCAGGAACATCACACAGGAGGACTGCAAGCACTCAGAGGATGCAGCTGTTCGCTGCAACATCCCCTACATGGGCTACGAGAACCTGGTGCGCACCATGGGGGGCTGCTGGCTCCATGGGGCTCCCAGCACAGCCCCACTCTCAGAGTGGGGTGTTGGGAAAGGCCCACAGCATCCACGGGACCCTCATCTCTCCTCCTCTGTACCCCACACATTTCTCCCTGCTCTGGGGCAAGGGCTGCCCTGAGAGCTCAGGGATTTTGTGGGTGGGAGCCCCTGTGAGGAGGGCGTGGAGGGGAGGTTGTGGGGGCTCTGGGTGCTCTGTGGGTGCTGCTATGTGAGGAGAAGTGTGGGGCAGCTGCTCCCTGCTGCTTTTCCTGCTGCCAGCCTGTGCCCACTCCCCAACAGAAACACCAGAAAAAAAATCACTGTGGGCCAACCAAGAGAGATTTTTTTTCCTATGATGAAACAAACAAACGGAGCTGCTTGTTCCTGTTTGCCCTGGCCCATTGTTTCATCCATTTTGAGCTTTTTAAAAGATCTTTATGATGTCATTTCTGAAATGATGCCATTTCAAAATGAACTGTTTTCCCCGCACTGGTGAAACAATTCCCAAACTCACAAGCGATTTCTTGTCCCCAAATCCGCCAGTTTTGCCGAGTTCCCTGCCGACTAAAGCTGTGCTTGGCTCTGCTCAGTTCCTGGCTTCCCCATCCCTGCAGCGCAGAACAGGGACTGGGGACGGTCCTGGAGTCCAGGGGAAGCATCACCTGTGATGGTGATGATGCTGCCACTGCCTTTCTCTGCAGATTCGGCTGAGCGGGGGCCGGAGCCGCTTCGAGGGGCGGGTCGAGGTGGCGGTGGGGGCTGGCGACGGGGACCAGCCCCGCTGGGGTCTGGTCTGCGGCGAAGGCTGGGGTACGCTCGAGGCCATGGTGGCCTGTCGCCAGCTGGGTCTGGGATTCGCTAACCACGGCTTACAAGTAGGTGCCCGCACCAGCTTGGCCAGGGCAGCAGCAGCCACCACCACCACTGCTCACGGGGATGGGGGACAGGGATGGATGGGGATGGAGGGTGGTGGGGCAGCAGGAGGTGGCACAGAGTGGGGTGGCCGCTCACGGCCCCAGGGCTTCCCCACAGATCCGCCTGGCTGGCGGGAGGACGGAGTTTGAGGGCCGCGTGGAGGTGAAGCGAGGCAGTAAGTGGGGCACGGTCTGCAGCGATGGCTGGACCACCAAGGAGGCCATGGTGGCTTGTCGTCAGCTCGGCCTGGGCTACTCCCTGCATGCAGTGACGGTAGGTGCCAGCGGGGAGGGCCCCTGGTGAGCACAGGCACCAGCCGGCACTTCCCGAATGACCATGGGGCTGCATGGGGACAGGTGGGGACAGAGGGATGCTCCATGTCACAGGACAGGACCCATGTGGGCAGTTCTGGTGGGGGGCTTGGCTGCAGCCTGGGTATAAGTGATCCTGGGCAATCCAGCCAGCAGCGCTGCCACCCATCCTGCCTCACCCCCTCCTCAGGAGACGTGGTACTGGGATGCCAGCAACGTGACAGAGATGGTCATGAGCGGGGTGAAGTGTGCTGGCCACGAGATGTCCCTGAGCCACTGCCAGCACCACGGTGCCAGCCTGAGCTGCAGGAACACGGGCACACGCTTCGCTGCGGGCGTCATCTGCTCCGAGAGTGAGCGGCCATGGGGGCTGGGGGCAATGGGGGGCTGCCTGTGGGTGGGGGCTCTGCAGGGAGGAGGTCTGTGGGCAGTGGGGTTTGTGGATGTGGTATGTGTGGGCAGTGGGGTTTGCAGGCATGGACTCTGAGCAGTGGGGTCTGTGGGCAGTGGTGTCCAGGAGCAGTGGTATGTGTGGGCAATGGGGACTGTGGGCAGCAGGCAGCAGGATCTGCAGGCAGTAGGATTTGTGGGGTTTGTGGGCATGGACTCTGAGCAGTAGTGTCCATGGACAGTGGGGTCTGCAGGCAGTGGGTCTGTGGGCAGTGGGGTCTGCAAGCAGTGGGGTCAATGGGCAGCAGGATCTGTGGGCAGTGGTGTCCGTGGGCAGTGGGGTCTGTGGGCACTGGGCTCTGCAGACAACAGCGTTGTGGGGCCAGGGGCTGTGATCAGTGGGGTTTGCAGATGGAGGTTGGGGTCAGCCAATGCCCAGCCAATGGGGAGGACACAATTCCCCCCCTGGCTGGCTCAGCCCTGCCAGCACTGGGCACTGCCCCATCCCCTCCACTCGCCCCATCTCTGCCGAGAGCAGGGCCTGTCCCTGAGCAGCCGCCTGTCCCCAGCTGCCTCTGACCTGCTGCTGCACGCACCGCTGGTGCAGGAGACGGCGTACATCGAGGACCGGCCGCTGCACATGCTGTACTGTGCCGCCGAGGAAAACTGCCTGGCCAGCTCGGCCCGCTTGGCCAACTGGCCCTACGGACACCGGCGCCTGCTCCGCTTCTCCTCCCAGATCCACAACCGCGGCCGCGCCGACTTCCGCCCCAAGGCTGGTCGCCACTCCTGGGTCTGGCACGAGTGCCACCGGTGCGTGTGGGGCACGGGAAGGGAGAGACGTGCGAGCAGGGGGACACATGGGGCTGGGAGTCAGGGTGGTGGTGCTGCGATGGGCTGAGTGAAAAATATAAAAGCTAAAACCCCAGGCATCAGCAACACTGGGCAGGGTTGACACTGAAAGAGAGTGACACTCTGCAAGTATGACACTAAGCGAGGGTGATGCTGGATGAGGGTGACGCTGGGGAAAGGTGACACTGGATAGCCCCAGTGTGCTGCCCAGGGTCCAATTGGTTTGGTTTAGGGCTGTTCATGGATGAGCACTGTTGGGGCTGGAGTCTCCAAGAGGGCAGGGATGGGGCGGCAGGATGTGCCCTGCAGCTGAGCCCTCTGCTCACCTAGGCCAGCTGGCTGGGGACAGCTGTGTCCCCTTCCAGGGCAGGACACGGCTCTGCCCAACCTCACAGTGCTGCTGCCTCAGAGCAGGGGCTGTGGGGACATTCCTGGTGGCAGGGGGCTGATGCAGGGCAGGGCTGTCTGCAGCAGGTGCTGGCTCCTTCCCACAGGCACTACCACAGCATGGACATCTTCACCCACTATGACATCCTGACCCCCAATGGCACCAAGGTGGCCGAGGGACACAAGGCCAGCTTCTGCCTGGAGGACACTGAGTGTGAGGAAGGTAGGCAACATGGGGCCCTGCAGCACCGTCCCTGCCTGTGTCCCCATCATGGGGACAGGCTGGGGGTCTCAGCCGGGACGAGCTGTGTCTCCTCCTGCCTGCAGATGTGGCCAAGAGGTACGAGTGTGCCAACTTTGGGGAGCAGGGCATCACCGTGGGCTGCTGGGACCTGTACAGGCACGACATCGACTGCCAGTGGATTGACATCACTGATGTCAAGCCAGGCAACTACATCCTGCAGGTGCTGCACCTGACCCTCCTCAGCCCCTCCTGCCACACTCCCAGCCTCTGTCCCTCACCTGCACACTTCAGCCACCCATCCCTCTCCCATTGGAGCTCATTGGGGCTGGTGGGTGTGCTGGCATGGGACGGTGCCTGTCCTTATCCCCACAGGCGTGTAGGGCTGCTCAGACATGCTGCCACATGGGTTTTCCAACTCTGAGCAGCACTGCTCATGAGCATATGGTGCACAGGGACAGAACCACCCCACCACATCAGCAGCCACCAGCTCCTTGGAGCTCTCCAGCACATCCACCACAGCTGGGGAGACACACCCAGAGGGTCTGGGGCAGGGGTCTCACTGTCAGTGCCCCACAGGTCGTGATCAACCCCAACTTTGAGGTGGCAGAAAGTGACTTCACCAACAATGCCATGAAATGCAACTGCAAGTACGACGGGCACCGCATCTGGGTGCACAGCTGCCACATCGGTAACAGCCCGGGGCATGGCACAGGGGTGAGGGTGGAGGGCTGCAGGAAGCCTTGAGGATGAGGATGGGCTGGGATGGGGGTGCTGGGGGCAGCTACAGTGGAAGGTGCTGGCAGGGCAGGGGATGCACTGCACCTGAGCTGACAATCCCTGCCCTCTGCCCGCAGGAGATGCGCTCAGCGAGGAGGCCAACAAGCGGTTTGAGCAGTACCCAGGTCAGCTCAACAACCAGATTTCATAGGGCCCCAGGCCTGGGGAGACGGGCATCTCCCTCCCTCACCCCATATGGGTGGGAGGAAACCGCTGGGAGACCGGCAGGGAGGCCTGATGCCCAGTGCTGCTGCCACTGTGTCCTGCCGGGGACTGCCCAGGACTTGCCACCGGCTGCCCTTCCCCACCTTGAGGGGGGCTGGTTCTGGAGGCACCAACACCTGAACCTCCCAGCCTGGGGCTGCCACCCCAACCACTGGCCAGAAGATGGTGGCCACATCCCCTGGGCTGTGGCACACGGGTACGGTCTGGGAGGTCCTGCACCCCCCACCGCTCCATCCCTCCCATCCCAGCTGCACCCCAATTCCTATTCCCCCCCTTCAGCCCTGGTTCCCTCACCCCTCAGCTGGCCCCAGGGCCCACCACCCACACAGGGCCCCAGGAGCCCCTGGTCTCCCGGGGATGGTGCAGGTGTCTCTGCCCACAGCGCTGCCCAGGGATGGCTCCTACCCCATCTCTCAGTTGTAATTTTATTTCCTCTATAAAGTTGTAAGTTCTATTTCCTGATGGCTGCTGGCACGTCTCTGGGTTGGGATGAGGAGCCTGTCAGGAGCAGGTGGCATGGTTCGTGCTGCAGGGCTGGTCACCACACTCTGGCACAGTGTGGGAGCATCCCCTGACCCCTGCAATATCTCATCCATACCAGACCCCAGCACTCTCCTCAGCCAGGGCTGGTCCTCTGGGGAAGGCGGGAGCAGGAACCACCTCAGGTGGGTGAGAGGAAGGGACAGCAGCCCCACAGCACTGTGTCGGGGGGAACTGAGGAGCAGGGATGTGGTGAGGAGCTGGATCCCCCTCACCAGATCCAGGGCGAATGTCATCGAGCAGAAATCCCATCCTGGGGCTGTGACCCTTGAGGATTGGGGTCCACAGGACTGTGACCCACAAGAACTGAGGTCTCACAGCAGAGAGGAGCTGCCTAATTCATGTGGGAGCAAAGCCCAGCAGGGCCTGGGGCCAAGACACTGGGCAGGAACACTCGGATGTGACCCGAGGGCGGCACAGCCCAGCTCTCACCCTTCAGCTGGGTGCTCTGACCCCACCAGCCCCTTTTCCATTCCGGGGACCCCCCAGGCACTGCCCCCAGCCTGGGAGGAGGAGGAGGAAGGCCTTGGCTCGATCCTGGAACGCTCTGCGGTCAGCACAGCCGGAGCAGCTATGCCAGACACGCCGCGATTTCCCCCGAGCCGGCGGCGCTGGCCGGGGCAGTGAATTCCTCCGGCGAGGCCGGGGCTGCTGAAAGGAGGCCTGTTCTCAGGGCAGGGCCGCCCCTCGCCACAGCACCCCTGAGGAACTGTGCTTCTTTCACGTCCCAAAAGCAACAGGCCGGGGCTGGGGAGCGCCGTCACGGGCAGGGCCTGGCCCGACAGCCGCATTCCTCCGGGCTGCCCTCGCTGAGCCGCTGCTCCCGCTCCAGCGGCTCTTCCAGGAAGGCGAGGAACAGCCAGAGCTGCTCGCTCCTTCCCCGAAGGCCCTCGGCCTCCAGCTGTCCCCAGGGGCCGGGTGTGTGTGGGAGCAGAGCTCCAGCACTGACAGCAAGCTGGGGGCGGGACAGGCAAGAGCCCGGCTGCGGCTCCCGTCCTCAGCCTTCCTGGACATCAGGGCCAGGAGATGCTGCCCCGGCCATCACAGCATTGACACCAATTTCATCACGGCCTGGAAAGCTGCTGCATGGGAGGGGATGTGGACACAAGGCTTGGAGCAGTCACAGAGCTCCCAGCAGAAGGGATGTGAGCAGATGGCCATGGCACACCAGCACTGCTGCACTCCAGAGAGGTAATGCCGGTCCCAGACCCGCTCTGGGGCCACTCTCACCCACAGAGGGGCCACACAATCCATGGCTCAGCAGCTGCCTGCCAAGTACAGTCAGATCCCAGCCCAGGTGGGTACCAAACAGGTGGCAGGACACCATGAACACTGATAAGGTCCCTGGAGGCACAGCAAGTTCCCCCTCAGCTGCAGGGTCTCATGTACCAGGAGGAGCAGGGTCCCACACAGCCCAGCCTTCACCAGGCAACTGCTGCTGCCATGGGAAGGAGGCGACCTGGCCTTGGGGGCCGCTAGAAAAGTGCTTTATTGGAGTACAGAGGGGAACGGCTGCAGCACAAGTCACCCACACACAGGCCCCTCTCCTGGCCCCTTCCAGCCCTACACGAGCTCTCCGTCTCTGCCTGGCCAGCACGGACACATCTCAGTCCTGCCCTCAGCTCTGAGTCAGCGCCGAGTGGTCTCTGCTACTCGGTGACCTCGGGGACGACGCTCACGAGCAGGGTGTCGTAGCCACGCCTCACCAGCAGGGCCAGGCTCTGCTGCGTCCGCACCGCCTCGTACACATCCTCAGCACGCCGTGACACTGTCCCGTTGATCTCCAGCACCACATCCCCAGCCTTCAGCCCTGCCCTGCAGGGAGAACATGGATGAAGCAGACAAAAGGTGAGGGAGACACTCAGTATCATCATCCTACAAGAGCAGCAGGAGCTGTGGCACAGTAGAGCTGCACTGGTAGTTGGCCAGCAAGACACCCAGCCTGGGAAAAGGTCACCAGGTGGTTTCTGCTGCAAAGCCCAAGCCCTGCTGCTCTGGAGCAAAACACATCCCCCAGCTGCTCCCTCACACACTCCTGAGGCACAGGGCAGCACTTACTGGTGTGCTGGGGAGCCGATGATCACCTTGTGGATCAGCACGCCATAGGAGATGTCAGGAAATGTGGGGTCACGCAGCTTCAGCTCTGCCAGGATGCTGCAAAGTGAATATCGACATCAGGGATGGAGCTGGAGGCAGAGCAGGGCTCCCACTCCACTCCCTGCAGCGGCACAGGCTTAGAGACCAGGCACAGAACCTCCCCTCCTGTGTCCCTGCACCCTGCTAAGCAGGAGCCACAGCCGCCAGCCCCAAACACTGTAATCCTCCTGTTAAAACAAGATGAGTATCCCAAAGGCACCAGGGAGAGCTGGAAATCCGTGGAGCAGCTGCATCAGAGCTGTGGTGATGTACATCCCCATGTCACATGAGCCTTCCCGGGGTCAGACCCGCCCCTCCCCTGCTGCAGTTTCACTTCTCTGCCCTAAGTGGGCAGGACACACAACACAGGCTGTGCCCCTCTTCCTGCCAGACGTGTCAGCAGAGCTCTCCTCCTGAGTTTGGAGACTAAACAATCATAGTTTCTCCAACTTTCCCACAGATTTTAGGATTTCTTAACCAAATTTAAACTGCATATCTCACAGCTCCTCTTTGGACTCTCCCCAACTGCTCCTCACCCATCTTGAATGAAATCCAGAAGTGGATGCAACACTCCAGCTAGATCTCTCCAGAGTGACAACATTTTTCCCTCAAACACTGCATCAGCTCCAATCCCTGCAGACCCACACACTCAGTCTCTGCCCAGCTCTGCTCCTGTCAGGTCCCTGCTCAGTCAGTCAGGGCTCCCCACAAGGCTGTGGTCCGTGCTGAACTCTGTTGTGCTGTCCCACAGCCCAGTGCAAGCTGCCATCCCTTCCCAATTTCACACAGCAAAGGTGGGAAGAGGCCTCTCAAGTTCATCTCACCCGACCCCCAGCAGGCTCAGTCAGGGCAGGTTGCTCTGGACTGTGTCCAGCTGGGTTTTGAGGATCTCCAGGCAATGTGTGCCAGGCTCTGAGCACCCTCCTCACAGCAAAAAAAAAAAGGGTTTTCTTATGGACTCTCACATGTCCCTGTGCTCACTGCCTCTTATCTGGTCTGGGCACCACAGACAGAACAGGGTCTGTGCCTGAGCCTGTGCCCAACACGGAGCTTCTCCTTCCTGTGCCAGGGAAAGGTTTCCAGATGGAAAGGTTCAGGGTGTTCAGGGCAGTCACCCGATTCCAAGGCGAGTAATCCCTTGCTGGGAGCCCTTCCTGCTGGGCACAAACAAGCCTGGCAGTCAGGTGGTTTCCCTGGACCAGCTCAGGGGCTGTGTGGAAGCTGGACCCGGGTCCCAGGAGCCGCGTCCGAGGAATTTCACGCTGCTTCCTGACTGACCGGGTCCCTGTAAGCCTGGCCAGGGAAGCAGGAGGAGGCTGGGCTGGGCTCCCACATCCCTCGGGTTCTGCCGGGTTCCAGCACCATCTGCTGGGCATTGGGGAACTCACCAGACCTTTAGGAGGGCAGAGCACAGCCCCAAAAGGTGTTTGCCCAGCATGGCACAACACCAGCCCCACGAGGCAGCTGAAGGTCCTTTAAATGTGGCTGCAAGAGCCAAAGAACCAGAGCAGCTGTTGTCCTTGAGAAGTGCTCGCAGAGGTGAGAGCACAGCTCCTGCTTGCTGACATGGGCACTTCCCAGAATTGTTTGGGTTGGAAAAGACTTTCAGGATCAAGTCCAACCACTCCCTCAGCTCTGCCAAGGCCACCACTGACCATGTCCCCAAGTGCCACATCCACACAGCTGTTAAATCCCCCCAAGGATGGGGACTCCACCATTGCCCTAGGCAGATGTGCCAGGGCTGGACAGTCCTTTCCAAGAAGGAATTTTCCCAATATCCAACCTCAACCTCCTGAGGCACAACCTGAGGCAGTTTCCTTGTCCTGTCCCTTGTTCCTGGGAGCAGAGCCTGACCCCCACCTGGCTCCACCCTCCTGTCAGGGACAGCACTTTTTATCTGCTCACAGAGTCTGCTACTATTGTAGAAACTTGCAAGTTCCCAATTTACCCCTGAGCCAGCCAGGAATCTAACCACAACACAAGCACAAAGAGATATGAGAGTGAAAGCTTAAGCAGTGGAGACAATCCTCCCCAAACCAGGCATCCTCAGTTAGTTGGGAAGATCCCATCACATCCCTGCCCCAACAGGACTGGTCTGCTGGCCCCTGAACTCAGGACAGGTACCTGGGAGTGAGGGTCAGCATCATCACCCCAATGTAGCGGCGCTTCGTCTCTGCATTGCCAAACCAAGAGCCTGTGGGAGGAAAGGACATGGAATGTCACGGCTGGAAAACAGAGTCGTGCTCAGAACAGTGCTGGGCTGAGCCCTTACAGCCCTCAGGGCAGGCAGCATCCAGAGCCATTCCAAATCCCCACAACAGCTCAGTCCAGTTCCCAGCACCAGCGGGAATATTCCAGGTGCTGCGTTTTGCACCGTGACTTGCCTGCCCTGGTTTGTCAGATTTCTGACAGAGAATTCCAGTGTCACAGGAGAACCAGACAGGGCAAGGCAGCAGCAGCAGTTTTCCTGTGGCACCAGATGAGACCCCCAAAGACTTTTGCTCTCCTTGCCGTTCTCAGGAAGAAGCTGTGGCAAAGTTTCCCTCCCTCATCCTCCTCCCCGAGCACCCGAGCAGGGAGGTCCCCACTCACTCTTGCGCTGCTCC